GCCGCCGCCGCCTGCATGCGCTCGGCCCGACTGCCGTGAGGCGCCTCGGCGGGGCGGTGCCCCTCTCCCCGCCCCTTCCCCCCGGGGCGGAGGGAGAGCCCAGCCCAGCCCAGCCCAGCCCAGCCCGCAGCCTGCCTGCGAGCGCCCGGCGGAGCCATGCGGGAGTACAAGGTGGTGGTGCTGGGCTCGGGCGGCGTGGGCAAGTCCGCCCTCACCGTGCAGTTCGTGACGGGCTCCTTCATCGAGAAGTACGACCCCACCATCGAGGACTTCTACCGCAAGGAGATCGAGGTGGACTCCTCGCCCTCGGTGCTGGAGATCCTGGACACGGCGGGCACGGAGCAGTTCGCCTCCATGCGGGACCTGTACATCAAGAACGGGCAGGGCTTCATCCTGGTCTACAGCCTGGTCAACCAGCAGAGCTTCCAGGACATCAAGCCCATGCGCGACCAGATCATCCGCGTGAAGCGGTACGAGAAGGTGCCCATGATCCTGGTGGGCAACAAGGTGGACCTGGAGGGCGAGCGGGAGGTGTCGTACGGGGAAGGCAAAGCGCTGGCCGAGGAGTGGAGCTGCCCCTTCATGGAGACGTCGGCCAAAAACAAAGCCTCGGTGGACGAGCTCTTTGCCGAGATCGTGCGGCAGATGAACTACGCCTCGCAGCCCAACGGGGACGACCAGTGCTGCTCGGCCTGTGTCATCCTCTGAGGGGCGGCCGGCCGGGAGGGTTTGCAGGGGGAAGCGGCGGGCGACCCTCCGGGGCGAGACTGGAGGCAACTTTGCAGAGGCCGGGAGGGCCCCGGGGCGGGGGGAGCCGCCTCTCCACGTCTGCAAGCAGGCTAGGGGGAAACGCGGCTTTCTCGGGCGGACGCGGGGATCGCTGCCTGCTTCTCCTAATACCTCCGGCAGCTGGCTGTGCTGGCAAGTGACACCAGGAAGAAAAGTTTCAGCACGCGGAGAGGGAAGTTTCCGAGCGATCGCTTTCTAACTGGAAGAGTGAAATGCACCCCGGGAAGTTGGGGGAGCAGAAGGGAGGGGGGAGCGATCTCTCCGGCTCGGATTCCTGCTCCCCTGCTCTGGCCCGGCTGGATTTGCCCCCTGCGACTGTGAGAGTGATCCTGAGGCTTTCTATGCAAAGTTGGATGATTGTTACAGTGTATCCAATCTGAAGTATTGCACATCTGAACTGGACTTGAATAACACTGATGCCAATACAGTGTGGGGTGCCAGAAAGTGTCTGCTGATTATTTGTGAAATAATCTTCTATTTTGTTTACCTGCTGTATGGGATGGGAGTTTGGGGGAGAGCGGTAGAGGTTTTTTATTTTGGTTTGGTTTTTTAATTTTTTTTTTTTTTAATCAGCTGTGAAAATGTTACAAATCTGCACATTTTTTTGAGTTGTGTGTATGTATGTGTTTTTTTTTTTTCTCCCCGGGGTGGAGTGGTGATGGTTTTTATTCTTTCTTTTTCTTTTTTGGGTTGGCAATAACTGATTTTGATGACTAGCTCTCTAAGTACAAAGACTTCCTAAATGTGATACAGGGCCAACAGCAACCCTGTGTCTATAGAGTGCCTTCAAAACTCAGCTGTTCCAGCCGGTGCCAACCTGTGAAAGCTCCACAGAATCCCATTATCTACTACTCCAAAAACTACTTAATAGTTTCCTTTCAGTAATCATATTCAACAAGCCAGGACAAAAGGGCCTATTGTTAGAGGAATTTATTTTTTATTTCCATTTGAGCCTTTTAAATGTAACTTCCATGTCTTGCAAGTTTTGGCTTCATTTAATTCAAATTTACTGGAATTTTAATTTCCCGGGCTTTTTTTTCTCCTTGTTTTTAGGATGTACCTCCAGCCAGCAAAGAGTGAAATCTTAATGTTGTGATGTATCAAAAAAATTCTAATGACTGTATCTTTAATTTCAGACACACAATTAATAGATGTCTACCCATTTTAAGACTTTTAATACAAATACCTTGTTTTGTTTTGTTTTTTAAAAAAGAACAACTTCTGTGGCTTTTTTTTTTTATACGTTGTAAGAAAAACTAGCTTTAACACACAGCCATAACAGGACATATGCCATTATTCCTGGTTTCTTTTGAATGCACGTAGTGTTTGAGGAAAAGAATGAGGGAGGGCACTTTTAAACATCATCAGGCTGGAGAAAGTTGTTGCATCTAAATGCTGGTAATGCTGGGAACAGTTGAACAATAATATCAGGCCCTGATCCTGCAAACTTTTGCATGTGGGTTGAACTCTATATCCAGTAGATGCCTACTGAAGTTGGTAGGGGCCCTATGCAGAACAGCCTGTAGATTAGGGCCTTTTTTTTTCAATATTAAGAACAACATGGTTTATTTTAGTTGAAGTGCTAAATTCATACATTTGAAGCTTTAAATTTTATTGAAATACAGGTGTTTTTTTAATTATGCATTAAGATTGTGATTCCTTGTTGGTTTCTTTTTTATGACTTGTATAAGGGAAAATGGGTTTGTGCCCCTCCCTCCTACTTCTTGAAGTGGGATGAAGGCTAGAAAGCGCTTTCTGTCCCACAGACCTATTCTCCCCTTCCATTCCATCCTTGCTCCAAAAAATATGTTGGAATTTCGTAATACTATTTGTTCGTGATTCTTTTTCTATCCAAAGTGAGTCCTTACGAATGAATGAAATTATGATATAACTAGAAACTGGAAGTTCAGCAGTTCAGTGGAAAGGAATTTTTAGTCATGCTAATTTCAATTCACCATGCTCAGTTCTCCTTACCCCAGTTCTAAACCATGATTTATTAATTCACTGGTTCAGACACAAAACTCCTGTTGACTTCCAACATGCAGGATTGGGGCCTTCATGGTTGTCCATCACTTGAAAAATGGGCACTTTTTTTCTCTCGCCAACATTTTTTAAATTTCTAGTACCTAGCAAAAACTTGACAGAATTATACCTTAAAGATTCAACATGCTGAATAGTTGCTATTAATAAAAAAGGCCAAATTCCCAACAGGAGAATTGTATTTTGAATACAAACATTTACTGCAGGCATAGATTAAAAGAAGAATGTTCTATGCATAAGTCTTTGCTATAGTTAATCCAGTCTGATCCTGCCTAGATTTTCACTCTT